AGTAAATTTTATTTAAAAAACAAACTGGGGGGGAAGAAAAACAAACAAACAACAAAAAAAAAATACAACTCAGCCACAGAAAGTGAAATTTCACTTGTACTAGTGTTACCTATCAGAGCAAAAATCAAAGAAAGGTAGACAGGAGTATTCTATAAAACCTGATGTAATTTCCAAACGAACAAGGCACTTCACTTCCATTAAAGGAATTAAGAAGTCAAAGACGGAGTGGAAACCCAGAAGTGCAAAGTCCAACCTTGTCTTCATCCTGGAAGTCACAACAGTTATTTTCAACAGTGGCTGGAAACCTCGATTTGCTCCTACGAAGGCAAAGCACGAAACTCCCTCTGTTTTAAGATCAGCACAACAATTGGGAGATCTTGATGAAGAAACCTTTGCTGCTGCCATTGGCAGGTACCACAAAGTTCATGGTCATTACAGCTCACCTATCGTCCAAGTGATTAACACACCCAGTTAAGAACCTAAAAACTTATGGTTTCCCTCTCTAAACGCCAACAAAAAGCTCAGAGCATGACCAGAGCCTCGGTCGCAGTCTCCCCATGGCTGCTGGTGGGATTTACCCTGAAATCTTGAGAGTAGATACACCAAGTAACACTTCTGACAGTGTATGGTCTTTACAGAGCCAAGAGGCCATATTCCTAATAAATCTCGTAATCTGTAGCGAAAAGCTAAAACCAAAAGCATCTGCCTTTTCTCCCTTGGAGTCAGCTCCACACCCCCCAAATATGAAATCTGGATTTGCACAGCAGGAGGCAAAGGAGCGTGAGGAGGTACAGCAGGGTATTTACAAAAGCTGAACAGCTTCACTTGTGAAGGGATGTCGATTCTTACAAGAGCCTGCAAATATATTGCCATTACAACAAACACAAATTAATATAGAACTTTTTTTTTTCTCCTTTGTTTCAAATTAGGCTGAGACCTGTTCAAACAGCAGAGTGTTACATGGATAACTTCCAATCTGCTCTTTAAAAAAGATTTAAAAAAATGTAACAGCTCTGAAAGTTTGGTCATTTGTTCCTTCATCAACATCCAAAGAGTAATTCTCAGGTCAGCAAAAGTTTTTCAGAAATGAGACAACCCCTGGAACAGGGGCTGTTTCCAACCATTAGACCCCATCAGCTCCTGCGCGCAGCTCAGAGCGCTCTCCAGTCGATGGGCTTCTTGCCGGATTTCTTGAGCAATTCATTTGTCTTCGAGAAATGCCGACAGCCAAAAAACCCTCTGTTGACAGAGAGAGGCGAGGGATGAACCGTCTGCAGGATGTGGTGGCGTTTCTGTAAAGCGTTAGAGGAAACAGCTTGTTAGATTTGCATGCTTTCAGCTCCCTGGACAAGGCTGGCTGCTTCTGCCCCGACCAAGCAGGTGTGATTTCCTCTCTACACCTCCTCAGCCACCAGCCTGAGGACCCGAAGAACCGACCATGAGGACCGAGACTTTTGTCCCACTGAGCAGAGGAGAATGGACTATGTAAAGCGGCAGTAATACCCTGGCCATTTTTCAACTGCTGTAATCCTAACAGCAAATTTTATACTTATTCATGAGCCTTTTCCTAGAAAAAACACAGTTCTGACCTCAACTGGATGCTTTTCTGACAACAGAAGGTTACACTTGCTCCACTTTTGTTGCTTAATTCTGGCAAAGGCTAAGCTGGAACAGAAGGGCAACTAAATTTGACAGCAGAGTTCAAGCAGGGAGAAAACCCCAACTCTGTAAGGGAAGTGCCCTCTAGTGTCCACCCAACTGAAGAAAAAAAATTAGTGAGGGAAGAGATAAGGAGTAACCTGTACCCTGTCAATGGAGCTGCCTTTCTTCTGGGCGTAGGCTCCCCACAGCATGAAGACAACCCCATGTAGGTTCTTGTTGAGCCAGGACACCACCACATCCGTGAACTGTTCCCAGCCTCTCTCCTTGTGGGAGGTGGCCTGGTGAGCTCGCACCGTGAGGACAGCGTTGAGTAGGAGCACTCCTAGCAAACAAAGCAGATACAGAGAGTGAAACAAAACAAAAACAATCAAGCGTTAACTGCTTTTTCCTGCTTCCCCCAAGAAATAAATTAAATTTTCATTCCAAGGTACCTGCTAAGCAACAGGCAGTCAGAATTGATTTTCTCTTTTACAGATGGACTGTTTCCAGCCATGGATCTTTTTTCTAGCTAGGCTTCTTCATGACCTACAGTGGCCACGTTACTAGAGTGTCTATTAACTCACCTTGCTTGGCCCAGCCAGTTAGATCACCATGACCAGGATGAGTGAAGTCCTCAATATCTGTAGACAGTTCTTTGTAAATATTTTCTAAACTGCAAAGAAAAACATCATAAGATTTTAAATATGCGCGTTTAAAGATAAGAGCAAACAGCATCACTTGCTCTGACACTAGACAAGAAGAGTATTGATTTTAATCTCATCACTTAAGATAATAAAGCCATTTGTAGAAGCAGGGTAACAAGGGCCCCCCTTTGTGTGCCTGGATAGAAGCTTAATGAGAAGGTCTCAGCACAACTGAAAATGCAAATTTACGTCCAGCATGCTCTTCAGAATACCAAACTACATAGAATTATCCATAATTTTGCAGTGATGTTTTTTCTAGGCAATGCACAACTCAAATTTCAGTAGTTGCAACACACTTACCTGACTCATAGCCATAAGTAACACAGAACTGCAAATAATTTGTAAACAGAAGCATTTTGCAAATTGAGCGCTGTCATACCTGGGGGGAGGAGGAACAGGCTTCTGGACACTGAAACAGAGCCCATGAGCTTGATTAGGTCCATGATATGGATCTTGTCCCAAAATGACAACCTTTACCTGAAAGCAGACCTTTGTTAGCACTGAATTATAATCAGTATTATTCCCAAAAGAAGGAAGGAAAGAAAGCTTATAAGTGAGCTTTATCCCAAAACACACAGACAAAAAAAAAAAAAACCAACCAAACAAAAACACCACCATCAAACCCCAGGAACTGAAGTTAAATCACTGACATCTCATTATGAATAAGGTAAAGAACACAGTCCCCACCTAACACTAAGGATTAACATCACCACGGCTTTGCTGCTGAGATTATGAAGATATTTTGGAGTGCAGAAGACCAACATTTTCAACGAGCCACAATAAAACACCTTGTTAAGGTATTTTCCAGGTAGATTTGCTCACGTTTTAGTTTTATGTCACTCTTGCTGGGATATTTTTGACACAGCTTATTGGCAATGGGATTACCTTAAACACTGGCTTTTGCCTTTTTTAATTATAGTTCACTACAGATCAATTAAAAATACGAGAGATGTACGAGATCCGAAAATCAAGCACTGCATTAAGTTGGTAATGCTGGAACTAAGGTCAAAAGTCCAAGTAAAGTTTTAAAGATAATTCTGTGGCCAGTAAGGGTAATAAAGCAATAAAACTGTGTTTCAGTAACAGAGATGAAAGAGAAGCCAGGATTTACAAGTTACGCGAGAGAAACAACAGCATCCACATCACGTGGGATTGAAGCCTAAGAGACCAAGTATCAGAGGAGCGTGTTTGTGCATCCGACCCCGCGTTTTCATCGTTTTAAGCGCACCGGCCGCTGGAGCGACGCCTCTCCCCAGCGCCTCCAGCTCTACTCACATCACTGATGTCGCACATCTGCGTCCAGGTGAAGACTTGCTCGGGCGGCGGATAGACCGTGTAGCGCTTCCTCTCTTCTGCTACAAACGCCATCAGCTGAGGGGGGGGAGAGGGGGTGGCTTCAGCTGGGGGACAGCAGGGGGGCCGCGGCCCCGCAGCCCCGCCGCCCTCACCTCCC